TGCTCAAGGCCTGAGCCACCTCCACAGACTTATTACACTGCTGGGGTCTCCAATTCAATCAGACACTTCAAAGGTTGTCAGCATACTATTTCAGTTAACAGAAGTTCTGATTCATGGAGTCATAGGATTGGCACTGGCTTTGGTATTAGTTTTAAAACTTGCTACCTTCCTTGGGAGGCCCAGCAGTTACACCCAGAAGAAATGCCTCTCTCCATTGCTACCCACTTGCTTCAGGCTATCCAGTAGTAGCTATAACGGGTTTTGCCTTGCTCTTCTGAGCTGTGAAAGAGGAAAAGCATGATGGAAATCCTCCCCAGTCCAGAGATACCAAGCAAAGCACAGCTAGGCCTGGGAGAGCCACATATTAACACAGAAGCTGATCTTGCCCTTGGTCTGCAACAGCCTTCTCCTTGCCTGCAAACACAGGGCAGTCACATGAGCTTCCCCAACTGAGTGTCACTAGCACCAAGAACATGTTAGCACACGAATCTACATGGGAGAGAGCACCTCACAGCTCCAAGAGCCCCCACTAGTCCAGAGGGATTTAAACCAATATATTTTTCCTTTTAAAAAAAGGATTGGATCCTTGTTGTTGGCCTTATGCCAGTATTTCTGGTGCCCTTTAGTCATTTACTCATGGCCTCCAACCAGTATAGAGAGGCCACCCCACAATAACAATGCAGAAGGGGATTATATATGGGGCTGCTGCTCAGCAGAGGCTGTGGCAAGGGTCCCCACTCCCACCTTTGGTGCAAACCCAGTCAGGCTCTGCTCGAAATGGTTACACTTGCTTTTTACCCTGTGCTGACAAAGCTGGGGAAAATAAGTGAGCCTTGGTCTTTGCTAGAAAACCCCTGCAAGACCTTTGCACCACTCAAGTTTCACCTCCTACACCACACTCCTGCATCAGCTGGAGAAGGCCTTGAATTCACCACGTAAAAGCAATGCACCACACTCCTGGGTCAACAGCCTTGGACTCCCTTGGTTCTGTTTGTGAGCAAATATGGAAAAGGCTCTGCCCTCTGGCCCTAGACTTATTTACTGCCTAGGAGACACCTAGCAGGGAGCACTGTTCTTTGTACTTACTCTCTAGATATAAGCTCCTTAACTGCTTCTCAAGGGAGCACCCTCCCTAATCTCTGCTGACATTCTTAGATCAGCTATTTTTAAGAGATTGCTTGATGCCGACTGAATACCTCCCTACTTGGAGGCTTTTGACACTCGTTACTTGGTGCTCAGCATTCTCTTGGATTTGCAGTTATATCATGCACATTTATATTCTACCAACTGGCAAGATCACAAACAGGGTGAGGCTCAGACACATGGGAATAGAGACAAAAACACACCCAAAGCTGTAGTGACTCAGTTGCTGGCTCCCCTTACCCCAGGAGCCGAGCAGATTCCCCAGGCAGAGGCCAGCCTCTCAGATGTGGTGCAAGCCTGGCATACTGTTCTCTCAGCACTTTTTAAAACAGATGACAATAGTTGGAATCTGGCATGTGCCTTAGGGCTAAGTTATGCCAACATACATGCAGAAATTTATCTTGCCGTTTCAACTCTCCTCTCCCCCCAAAAAGGGCAGGGGAAGCAAGAACCTTTTCTTCCCCTAAAAGTCAGTTTTGCAGATGGAAATAAGCTTTTCTATGTATACGCAAACATAATATATATGCGGAAAACAAGCCTGAGATTGTTTCTATACAATATCTGTTTTCACTCCTGTACTGTGGTTTCTTCTTACTAGAAAGAATGTAATTTCTTCTCTCCAGTTGTCCTGCAAGTGGGAAGGACTTGTTTACTTCTAAAGCTGGAGCCTGGATACATACACATCAGCACATGTCACTTGAAGCTAATAGAGCTCAACCAGTTCCTACTTCAGCCACATGAAAGCCTATGACATTCTTTTCCAGCATCACAATGTTTTTTCATGAAATTAAACCAGAATGCCACTATGGTACATTTAGTGCTTTCCCAGCACCAGCAGAACTGCCAGAGCCGAGCCAGGCATGTTTGTAACTTACATGAGTCAAGCAGGCTTTTTTCATTTGTCCTTTTAGGGTAGTAATCAGAGCAATGGTACAGTTAATGTTTTGGTGTCACCAAGTAAGAAATAGCTACTCTAGGACAGCCACTCCTCCTACAAGTAGTACCTTGTCTTAAATCAGTTCCATGGTAGCTAGCTAGGACTGCACAGGAGGTAGGTACTCCACACTACACAGGGGCTAGGTGGAAGAACCAGATCTCTGCAGAGCTGTGATTTCTATGACTCCCACCATTTAATAGCAACTCACCATCAGGGAAGCCTAAACTGCTAGCTAACAGCAGCTTCCCAGGCAAATAACTCATTTGAAGCAGTAGGAAATGAAGCTAGTTATTTTACATGAACACAGCAGGTTGCATTTTACAGAAATTAAGACAGCTACATGATTCAAGAGATGGAGTTGTTCCAGCAACACATGCATCATCCCTTCCTCTGCTTTCACCCTTGCCCACCTAGTCCTCATCCACTGGTTTTCGAGCAAGAGGACAGCATTTGCAAAACAGGCTTTGTTTCCCTTACAATATCCTCATTATCCCTTTAGAAAGCTTTCCTCATTTCTTCGGTAGGTTAAGACAAACATTTAGATACTTCAGGTAACAAAAGCTGCAGAGTGAAAGGAACCTGAGAAAGATGGGTAGAAAGTTTGATATGATTTAAAGCACTGATGCGAATTCTGGGTTTCATATGAAAGAAATTCTACCTTCCACTTTCCTCATAAGCGTGAGGTCTCATGATGCTTCCCTCCCACACTTAAAATTCTGCCTTGGCACTTCCTTAGCAGTTCCCTGGCACTAACACAAGTTTCCATAGCAAAGGATGTTAAAGGAGACTCTCATCACAAACTTAAGGAACTACTAAGGACCAAGAGGCAAGTAATAGGCATAAAACAGCAGAAGAAAACAAAATACTTGTGGAATATCCCGCTAGGAGCTTGGAGAGGACGGGAAAATAGTCTTGTTCAAAATCCTGCACAAGTCAGACATCCCAAAGCCTAGGAAACACAGCTGAACATAAGTGCCAGACGTGGTGGGGTCAGAGGTCCAGAGCCACAACCAGGTCAGAACAAAAATCATGACTGTCCTCCCCATCCACATAAAATATCAAATCCACACTAGATCTTGTGAGAACCAAGGATAACAAGGTGAAACTTCAATCTAGGGGAGTTTCCCTGCCAAGCATTAAGTAGAGCACTGAGACTGTTGGCCATCAGAGCTGGCATCAGCTGCGTGATTCATGGGCATCAGTGCAAAGGAGGCCTCAGAAATGAATGAGCTCCTTTTACAACTCCCCTAATGGCCCTTAAAAGGGCTTCTGTTTAAAGGAGACCCCCACCCACATTCATGGGAGCACATCACTCGAGACAGTTTAACCCTCATAGCAGTAGAAAGATACTCCCTCCTTATGTGCCCAAGTCATTTTTAATGAAAAATAGCAAGGGAGGAGGAAGAAAAAAATCTTAATTTTAAAGGCTTTAAATAAGTCACAGGTCTAACACGTCAAAGCTGGTGGGCATACCCTCCTCACCAAGAGCTCCCCTGCAGTACATAGGGGCATTTCGTTCTCCTGTGCTGGCCTCAGTGCCATCAGTGCTTAGCATAGAAGGGAGATTTCAGTCAAAAGGCTATAGAGTCCCAACAAGGACTTCCACCCCACATACCAGCAGGGAAAGGAGCTGTCCCTCATGCTTGCAGTCTAGCAGTCTCTTGGCAGTGAGTGCATCAATATGCATGCTTGTCCTGAATGAGGTAATCTTAATAACTCTAAGCTATCTAAGGCTAATGGTACATTTAGGAGCCCATGAATCAAATGAAGCGCAGGGGGTTTTTACATTAGCGCTAACAGCAGCTCATCATCCAAATCCCTTGTGTACCTTATGAGATGCAGGAATCATCCACGTTTTCCCCTTGAAAATACATTTTTGTATTGTTTAATTCTTTAAAAGTCACAGACATGCCCCATCTTCTTGGGGCCAAAGACTAGCACACAGTTATCGCCCAGTAACGCATAATACTTCCATAATGCTCCCTTTCCCTCAGTCATGGTTTCCAAGGCCTAGCATGCTTTAAGCAAGCCCCCAAAAAGTTAAATGAGACATTGTTTATGTGTTCTCCTGTCCAAGATGAACACCTCCATTAAAATCTTTAGGCTGAGCATGCTGCCTTATTTCAAGTATGATTCAGGACAGTTACTTTACTTCCCCGACATGAAGCAACTGACCATTGATTCATTATACTCAATGCCAAGGAAGCTATGATGATACCACTGTGTATTTAAATATAATTTTTGGTCAAAACTAAACCCAGAATAGGGCCTAGATAACATATTGTGTTCACTCAGAACTTGAACGTTATCCTTAGAAGTAATCGCTCTGAATTATTGCGAGCGGTAGCCTTGACTAATGTCAGAAGAAATTAGGACATTACATGTTAGCATAACCTTCCTCCCCCTGCACAGGGTCATGAGTCTTGGCAGTCACAAATCTGCATGCCCTGTCCTAAGTTTTCCTGCAGCCCATGCAGACAGGCAAGATCTCAGTTTTATTTACTTTCCTTAGAGAGATGTCATCATATAAGTATTTGGTCAGAAGGGACGTCTAAGCTTCTGGTCCAACCTCCTGCTCAGAGCAGGACTATAGCCAATGCTGGAGCAGCCCAGTCACAACTTGAGATAACACATACTTGAAAACACCCCAAGGAGAGAGGGTCCCCACCTCCTGAGCAACCCACCCCAGGGCTGCACCTCTTCTGCAGAAAGAGGCACTCCCTAACACCCAACCTGAACCTCCCAAGCCTACTCAGTGGTGGGCACTCACCCTTCTTCTCTGAGGCCCCAGCTCACCCCTCCTACAGATTTGGGGTCACCCTCTTGCAGGGGAACCACTCCTCTCCAAGGAAAAAAAGGAAACAGCAGCTAGACTTAAAATAAAACAAGTAAACAAGACAACTGGAAGAAACAAGCCTACCTTCTCCACTGTGCAGGACTCATCCCATAGCCCACAACTTCCACGCTTGTCTCTGCAAGCACCTTGTCCTTTACCTACAGCAAAATCCCCAGTCAGGCCAAGCTACAGGAAGTGAAAGCTTCTCCCCCCCAGGCCCAAGCTATTTATAACCACTAACCCACCTGGTGACACCCCTATTAACTCTCCCTCAAATCAGGTGCTATAGGGCAGGGCCACACTTCGTTAACTCTTTCCAGCCCTTAGTGGGAAGGGGGAGTTTGACTATGACAGGACAATGTGCCTTGTTTACCCTGCCCTGCAGAAAAAGGAGTCTAGAGATCTCCTTGAAGCAACAAAATTCATGGCAGTCTAAACATTTATTTTCCACCTGGGAACAGGCTGCCTTCTAGCCAAATCCCAAGGATGTGCAACTGCAGCCTTCCAGGAAGGAAGAGATCTGGGTTGCCAACAAAACATTAGGCTGTGATTTGCGGAGCAGGAATTTGGTACGTGTGCCTTGATTTTTGTGCAATGACCCTTAGCCACGGAGCAACCTAAACAAGGATGTGGTGCTCAGCTGCTAGATAATAATTTGCTTCAGTTTCTATGCAGTGATTCGGACTCAGCTGTTGATTCAATGTTTCATAAACTCTGAGCTCAGGATCTCATGTCTTGCTTACACATAAAACCTGCCTAGAGGAACTCAGACCAGGCCAGGAGCTCGATTTGAGCAAGAAGGGCTTTTTCCTATCCTAAGTCTAACTCTGGTGTGTTCATGAAGACAGAATTGTGTTTGTCTTGGAAACTACTTTATGTTCCTTTCTTATTTCTCATGTGTTTATTAACTTCATCAAGGCTAATTGAAGTGCTGGGCATCACATGGGAGGGCTTTGCACTGAGGGCCAGCCTCGTTAGATTGCAGGTGACTTTTGGTGCTGAAAGACCTATAATTGATTGAGGTCAGCTTCCCCCCATTTCCACTTAAGCAGCACTTTAAACACATTAGATGGTTAATTCCCTCCTGAAGGGAAGGCAGCAGATCAGGTGGCAGCCATTCCCCGGGGAAGGAGAGCCCACACTTGGCAAAGATGCCTGTCAAGATGAGAAAATCTATTTATAAATATAGTTGCCTTTGTTCTGTGCAGTGGGAACACAAAGAAGCAGTAGTTGAGGTTATGTCTATAGGCTTCAATTTGGCATCTCAGCCTTTACCACAGCTTTAGAAAATCCAAGTAAAATAACTGATCTTATTGCAATTTTAGATCTTAACCGCCTGCAACTGAACTCTGAAAATGGATAGTCAGACAACAAAAGCAAAGAGAGTTTGTTGGGTTTCTTCCCCTCCCCCTGCCCCCGCCGTGTAAACTTTAGCCTCCCTCTTCATCCTCAGTCTTCATTATCCACTCCCTTCCTCGTTGTGCATACCTGATTGCAGGCCCAAAGCCTGGGACCATCCATGCAGATAACCAGCGGAGGACCTAGCTAAGGCTACTGGACCTGGCCAGCATCGACTTTGCAGCTCCCATTCAACAATAGTTAGGTGAGAAGCTGCTTCTGGTTTTGGGATGACCCTGTGCCACTCCACTGGCCAAAAAGTGATGTGCTTAGTTCATCAGTCCATGAAAAGTGCACCGAAATAAAAGCCAGTTATTTCCTCATGAGTGAATTCAGGATGTGACTTCAGATGTATGAGGAGGAACAGAAGAGCTCAAGTGAGGCAACTGCCAAGGTAGGCAAACTTAGAAACGCTATGGGAAGCTTCCTTCACTATCCTTATCCAAGATAGTGTTGTTATAATGCTACCCATAATTCAGAAGTGCAAAATATTCCCTGGCATTTTGTGTTCAGGCAAACAACAAGGCCACGTCCATTCACTGCAAAATGAATATGATTAAAGACAAACACAGTGGCTTCCAAACAATCGTTATTACTTCACCTGTTTCCCAACTTTTAAGATTTTATCTGCCTTTGTGCGAGATTTTTCACACTGCAACAAATAAAAGATACAAAGTTGAGACATTTTAGAAGGAAAAAATGCAGTCTGTTACGAAACATCAATTATCCAAGAACATAATTGCACAGTAGTTGCAAGGCAATGGCTGATACAAACAATGATAATTACTTCCTCTTGCTTTTCAAATACCATCAGTTGCTATAAAAGTTATGCTTTACTGCTCATAAACCAATTTACATTTATGCTGTTTTCAAGTTGAGATATTAAGCATCCAAACAGCAGACCATATAGAGTTAAGGTCTAAGAAAGAATATATTGTTTCCGTTTTCTGCATGAATCATGAATAACATGGCTTATGCTAGTGTTAAATTTAGATACGGCCATAACATGCATCTTTTCTGTTTCCTGGCAAAGACGGGATCGTTTAGTTCTGCCCCTTTTTCCAGAGGTGGCCCATCCTTGCGGTGTCAGAGTTCTGTTCTCAGCTTAATCCCTCCAGCTTCCCACTACTGGTACCACATCCTCAAGTGACCATGAGAAGGGGATTTGGCGGAGCAGAGCTCCGCTCCTCCAAAGGAGTTTTAATCCTTGACATTGGGCAGTGCCGCAAAACTCTGAAAGCAATATATTTGCTCGATGCTTCTGCAGCTTATCTCGGCGCTGCGCGCGTGCCAAGAGGCTGGCAGGCACTCCCGGCGAAGCCACAGGCTGCGGTGTGGTTGCCACTAGCTGCTCACCAGCCCTCTGCAGTATTGAGCAAATGACTCAAACCTGCTGACAAAAAAAGGCACGGACTTCATGGCATAAAGTGCTTCCTGGGAAAGGTTCAGAAGCTGCTTTATGCAGCCAGGCTTTGTGCCAGGTGAATTATTGCTCTGAGGCCCCTTGGGAGAAGGGGAAAGCTTCAAGTCTCACCCCGGCAGTCTTCCGGGGAAAATACAACAAAGTAGACAAATGGCTCCATGATTTCACGTTCCAGCTGTCTTTGCTGTGGCCCTCTCAAACACGTGGTGTCGGTTCCACTCAAGATATTTCAGAGAAAGGGTGACTGTGGATAAACAATATATGTATGTGAGCAAGGACCACATGGTGATAAGTACGACCCTCCGGAAATTGTCATCGCTTCTTCTGAAGACTTTGTGGAGCACTACTTAAGCATAAAGGTCTGGGACTCAGCAAAAAACTAAGAATATGCTAAATGTCAAGTGCATAACGTCACACATTGGTCTCGTCGGCTTTATTGTGCTGGAAGCTGCGTAGGGCCCTTTCTTGCCTGTGACAGCACCCTGTGGGTGCTCTCTCCACCATTTTCCCAACCCTCATCTTCCAGGAAAGAGGCATTCAGCGGAGAAGTCATCACTATGTCTCAGAGGATGAAAGACCGCAGTATTAAAGCCTAAACTAAAGCACACCGAAGCCAATAGATATCCACTGATTGATACCGATGCTGAATCAGACCTTCAGCAAGTAACTAATTACTTCTGGAGCTGGGAATCACTGAGTGGAGAACCTGTAGGGGACACGTGCTCTCCAGTTAATAATTTATTCACATGAATAAATTATTATTCACGCAAACAGTCCTACTGAAAACAAGGATTACAATGCAATTAAGGGCTGCAGGATAAAGTCCTGAGATAAGAGTAAACAAAGAATGATATTAGAACCTTTAATTAATGTTTAGAAGTAGGCAGATAATGACATCAGGATGGCCATGAGTCACAATGTTGCACTGCTTCCTGAGCTTAGGAACAAAACTGTTCTTACTGCAAAGCCATGGTTTTACTTTTAAATATAGCTCACGTCCGAAAAGTTAAGGCTGAGATTGTACCCTATCTCTGCCTAGGCAAACAAAGGTAACAATGTCAGTGAAGCCCACAATATAAAATTTTTGCAGAAGCTCACTGTTACTCTGTGGAAGTCATTCTGCCCAATATCTTCTCAGCAAGTGCTGATTTTGCTTTTCATGTAGCATATGTTATTTTTTTTTAGCCTGGTTTCCTAAGGCTTATACAGCTAGGCTGTGTGTCTGCCCGTCCCATTCTGCTTCCCAATACATTTTGAATCCATCTATCAGTCTCAGCCAATATTGCCAAAGGTGCAAGGACCTCTGGGAACTTAATGTCCGAGGACTCATGAGATAGGCAGTCAGGACAGAAAAGACAGACCACGTATACGTGGCCACCGAGGGAAGGCCTCAACATGAAACTAATAGTTAAAACAGTTCCATAGTCTGCAGGATTTTATTTTAAAATGCTCCTTTAAAAATAGTGTTTTAACTCAGTTAATAAGTATAAAAACATCTCTGAACTGTGCAGTCATTTTGTGTAACTGTATGAGTTGAAAAAACAAGATATCTTTGGGGTTTTTTCTGCAGTATTTTCTAAAACACATCCTTTAATGAGACAAAAAGCAATTTCTGGATATGCATTTGTGCAAAAACATCTGCTGCATGTGAAGTCATTTGACAAAACAAGCTACAACTCTTTATTTAGGTCAGAAGATATTAATGGTTTGGAGCACGTTGCAAAACAAATCAGAGTAAACACAAGTAAACAGGAAATAAGAGGCTGAGTAGCCACAACATCGCAAGGTCAGTTCCCCTTGCTTTGGCTTTTAATTTTAACCTTTCCCAGTGTCTATTTTTTCCAGATTTTTTTTTTTTTTCCTCTCTTTGACCAGTGGTTTTCCTTTCATGTTTTAATTGGATCGTTCCCTTCTGTCCTTTGGAGGGTTTGAAAACATAAACAAATCTTTATCTCAGCTTTGCAGCTAGGGGTGATGATTCCTATGCACAGAAACCACGTTTAAGAATATAACGTGAAGCTACGGTTCATTTACAGTCTTTTCAACTACCGTGATTTAATTCAGCCCAACCCTTGGCTTGGTTCAGGATTCTTTACAGAAGATCTGTGGGAGAAAGGAATTAGGAAGCTAATAAAACAGTTTGCTGAGGCAAAGGTGTTCCCTGTCCTAGAAGCGACGCACTTTGTTCAAAGCACTACTACCAGTAATTCAGACCTTGGGTGGAAAGAATGGGATTTTGGAGGTTCCTTTCAATATCCATTCCACAAAACAGCTAGACTCCTTTCAATCTGGGTCTAAGAACCTTAGCAGGTTTGCAGAGACCTGACCCAAAACAAGGAGTCCACTGAAAGATCACATATGCTTTTGTTGTTTGAGTCTAGCCATTCTTTAATTCAAATATGTCCACTGAACAAAGATGAGAATGTTTAGTCTCCAAAAAGTCCTTCTGGTGACATATGATCCCTTAATACAATTTACCTTAAGAGTCCTCAGCATGCTAGAACACTGTTTTGTCTTTAATAATGTCAAGAACTGGTTAGATTATGGGTATATTTGGGGTATTTTAAGGGGTATAATTATTAGTGGAGTGGTACTCTGAAGGAAAACAGCAGAAATTATAGCTGTATCTTGTTCTGGAATACAAAAGGGAAATGCTACAGGCTTACCATTAAAGCTAAAATAGATCATCTGTGTGATCAAAAACTCATTTTACTCCTCATGCTAAAGTACCATTTAAAGAAATGTGTTAAGAACATAAAAGGTTTTGTAACGCAGTGCAAAACTGGCCATAATTTGACACTAGCAGATTTTAAAGGCAAATTGCTTTTCCACTCTGGAAGTAGTGGCTGTTGTTTACGAAGCAGCATGCCTCTCCGCAACACACAATCTCTGCTCAAGGTAATTGTCATCAAAATTGGTAGGAGTCCCGGATTACAGCCCTTAAAATCGACAGGAGGTCTTACAGTTCACAGAAATGCAAGGCGAAACGTTGCAATCCAACGCTCCATAAAGAGAAGAGAAGGTATTTTCTGCCTGAACGACCTTCCAGCATAACTCATGCACCTTAAGTCTTCAGGTGACTGACGGTAGCATCTCTTTAGCACTATGAGCCTTTCCCACCCATGATTTTCACCCTTATTTCCCCCAACCTCCAACCAGGGTCAGGTCCTGAGACAACAACTAGAGCAGGAACAGCAGCTATGCTTCAGGGCTGTAATCTTGCTAGCAGAGCTGCCAGCGCTGACAAAACAGAGCCCTGTGTGTTTTAGTTAGTCAGTCCTCTGTCTGGCCTGTCCACAGCTTTATCCATGCCGCCCTGGCACACAGGCTGGGATCAGCCCCGTCCTCAGGCACACCTTGACCTCTTTCAGCCTCCCTGCTGAGCACTGCCAGGGAGATTTTCTGTGCTTGTCTGATTCCCAGAAAAGGGCGTTCACAGACACCAGACAAGCTAGCTCTTGAGATCTCACTCTCTTATGCCTAGATTTTGCAACCTTTATTTTGCTATCACGGTAGGCCTGTAACTCTTTTTGGTGAGAAAAGTAGCCAATATTCAATAGATTTTGTACTGTTTTGAAAGTTTATTCACCCTTTAAGTGTCTGGGATGAACTTGATCAATCAGTTTCTGTTGTTATTATAGAAAGGTTACGCATTGTTCAGCTGCATGAAGTGTCATTTTTATCACCGATCTTGCATTGTCATAGTGTTTGTTCTTAATTAATGTTTAAAGCTTTTACTAAAATGTGAATGGCAAACTTCTGAATAGCTTTATGTGAGTACAGCCACTAAGGAGAATTGCCAAACACAGCTGCAATAACATCTACTTACCAGTATATCTGGATTTGCAAAACAAGTGACATTGTTGTCTTTAAAGTTACATACATCGGTATTTCTTTCCTTCCTCATAAGTTAGGAGATGGGAGCTCTTACTTCCTCCTAGTAAGCAGAATGAGATTCAGAACTGCTCCAATAGCTTTTCTGGTTTATATCTTATTAGTTTTAAAAACATTTTTACTTCATTTAAAAAAATCATTTAAAAAATCAATTTTAATTAATTTAATGGGCCTATTCTGCTTACAAGAGCCATCTGTCGAGTGTGACAGACAGCTAGGATTAAAAAGCAAGTGCAAAGTAACTGATACATATTCTCCTGTTTCCCTATATAAGTCCTATTTAAGGTCACTCACCAATGTCTGCCTCTATTTTAAACCCCAAGCGATAAATCTGTCTCTGAGCTGCTTTTCCGACAACTCTATTGTCTCAAGCAAGCGCTTCCCTGGCAGCTGAAGGGGATTTAACTTCTAGCTGCTGATGTCCTACCTTGTGTCAAGCCAGCTCTAATCCTCACTCAGCCCGGCTTTGAGTTGTTTCACTCCACCAACCCAACACAAAATTCACCTAATTTAAAAACAAAACAAAACAAAAACACAGAAGCTTTCCAACAGCTTAGAGAACTGGTATAGCTCAATGCAAGGTTAGGCACGGACCAGAGACAATAAAAAGGGTGGGGAGGAATGGAAGAGCTTTTTTAGCAGCCAGATGTTGGACTGACTTAGGCCAGAGATAACCTTAGCTATTCCCCAAGCTGAGTGTTGCTCACCCCAGGGAGAATCTGGTATCTATTTATAAGCATAAAAAGCACGAAATATCACACATGGAGTCATGGGTCTGTGCTTTTAAAGAGTTTCATATCAATAACTGAAACTGAGAGTAACCACAAATATCTCCATCATCACTGGGATGTGCAGCAGACAGAAGGAAAGAAAGTAAAAGAGGACAGGAAAAGCTCTAGCTTTTGTCCTCAACTGTATTTAAGGTCCTCTCACTTACTTCCTCCATGCGCGTACATTCAACACAGGCATGTTTCAAGAAAAGTTGAGTCTGGAAGTAGAGCTCCAGCCCCCTTGGGAACCCCGACGTCCTCATGGGCACTGGGAGGCCCAGTGTCCTTCCTCTGCAGACACTGCCTCACTGCTGCCCAGCATTATTGCTGGAAAAGCAATAATGCTGCTTTTCCTGCTGGAAAGTAGCTCTGCAGAGAAGGACCTGGGAGTGCTGGTGGACAACAAGTTAACCACGAGGCAGCAACGTCCCTTGTGGCCAAGAAGGCCAATGGGATCCTGGGGTGCATTAGGCAGAGTGTTGCCAGGAAGTCGAGGGAGGTGATCCTGCCCCTCTACTCAGCCCTGGTGAGGCCTCACCTGGAGGACTGTGTCCAGTTCTGGGCTTCCCAGTACAAGAGAGACATGGCGCTACTGGAGAGAGTCCAGCAGAGAGCTAGGAAGATGATGAGGGGACTGGAGCATCTCTCCTCTGAAGAAAGGCTGAGAGAGCTGGGCCTGTTTAGCCTGAAGACGACAAGACTGAGAGGCGATCTCATCAATGTGTACAAGTATCTGGGGGGGGGGGGGTGGGAGGGAGGGGGCTAGGTCAAGAGGCGATGGGCACAAACTGAACCACAGGAAGTTCCGTCTGAATCTGAGGAAAAACTTCTTTACCCTGGGAGGGAGACAGAGCACTGGGACAGGTCGTCCAGAGAGGTTGTGGAGTCTCCTTCCCCGGAGATATTCAAAACCCGCCTGGACGCGATCCTGGGCAACGTGCTCTAGAGGCCCCTGCTTGAGCAGGGGGGTTGGACTAGATGATCTCCAGAGGTCCCTTCCAACCTCAACTGTTCTGTGATTCTGTGATTATTGCTAGCCCCGACCCACACCATCCAAAGGAAGCACTTAAACAATTATTATTGTTACCTGGCAGAGCATAACATTCAGTTGCATGTTTTATTTAAAGCACAGACCAGACATTTGACAGGGGACTTTTGAACTGCACTAGGTAAGAGTCATACCTGCCTGTGGTCACAGCAAACTCAGCATCTCCTCATGCGGGGCATGTGTAGCTGTTGCCCAGATGAAAAAAAAAAAAAAATCAATGTGATCTGTATTATACTCCAGAACTGCCGTTGTTCATTTCTTCGAAAGAAGCATGGGAAGTCCTGGGTGTAACTTCAGAGATAACCTGAAGGAGATTGTAAGAACACAAGACAGTTTCATACAAACGGCTGGAGAATCTCTGTCTTGTAGTCAGCATGCCGACAGACCTAGGTGTTCCCAGAACACTACATTTATATATATTAAAAAAAAAAATGTCTGTAATCAACTTTGGCCAATTTAGGTGCAGCGCTTGGATGATGTGGTTTCGTTGTGAAGCATCTATATAAAGAACAAATCTTACACTCCTTCCACTTCAGGAACCATCAAACAGCTTAGACCAAAAAAGCAAATTATGCTTAGGCGCCCTGAGAACTGTTTCTATTACCAGATTAAAAGATGATTTATTTCTAATTCAGATGTCATTTCTGCAATATTGTATTAGCACCTGTTACTTTTGAAAGTTCTGTTGTTTAATCTACTGCTAACTCAAACTGGTGTCAGACAGTGTTATATGAAAATTAATATATGTTGCCAACGACTTAAACTTCTACCAGAGAAAGTAAAATATCCGTAACTATTCTTTTTCATGTTGTAAATTTGATAATTGTTAACAGTAGCCATGTAAGGGTGTCATTTTATATTCAGTGACTTCCATCTTTCTGACAAGCCATCGCATTTGCTACCAGTACATCTAGACTTTACACTAGGAAATAATCCGCTCAACTTGGAGAGAGATTTGAGTTTTTGCAAGTCTAGAGTACCAATCCTCCCCTCTGACCACAGCTTTTACTTGCCTTTTAAGTTTCCCCACCCCAGAGATTCTTGCTATTTAAAAGATGTTTTTAAGAAATGCCTTATCTTCTTGCTCAGTTCTTACTACCCACTTCTCCCACGTTTCCACGCTCTCACTGCTAACTGGTCCACAGAGCAAAATAATTCAGTTTGTACTTATGAAGAAAATGCCATCATACAACAGGCCTTCTTCTATTATTCCTTTCTCATCATTCTCCTAAGGATTGAAAGGCTTTTGCCACACTAATAGCAGCAGTTTTTATTCTTGCCTGAGGCCTTCCAGTCTTTTAGCATCATTTTACTGTGGTGCCAGTAAACTGTGCAGATTTCACATCAGATAAAGATACAGTAATAGTCATAGTCTCGGTGCCAAAGAAAAGGTTGCAAGAGCAGCATTTTCAAGAACAAGCACTTTTACAAAAATTTAAGAATAATTGTTATTTCTAACGAGATCCTGAATGCCTAAAGCTGTGCAACCATTGCTTAATTTTACAAGCTATTTTTAATCACAATAACCCATCAGAGCCAGGACAACTGCAGGAAATCAAGTGAACAACAGTCCTTACTTCATCCCATCAAAATGCACGCAGCATATCAGTGGGAAGCACTGGTGGCAGAGGCACTGGCTCACTGGATCTGATAACGCTAGTTACAGAAGAAGAAACAGCCTATATAAGATAGATAAAATAATTTGATGTTCACAGTCTTTATAACTACTGAGAGTACAAGCAAAGCTTGATTTATAGGCTGAATCTGTAATTTTGGCATTGGCTAGAGAAGCAGACAGAAAACGCACACAAAACCTCAAAGGAACTTCTTAGTGGCATTTTTATATAGGTTTGCTAGTGTACTCTTTTTGGAAAGAGGTTTAAGAAAGGATCTATAAGGTCATCAACATGTTCTAATTAAAGTACAGTTTTATATTATCTCAAGGAGCAGCTGAGACTTGTCTGCTGTGTCATAGCAGAGTATGACCTTATCTGACCCAACCATCCTGAGGTAACTCCTGGGGTGGGGAGTACACAGGCAAGCCTAATTAGATTTTTTTTGGAGTGTATTTCAGGTTAAGTCTAAACATAATATTTCCTATCCCACCCTCTCCCCACTTGCCATATTTTCTTCTGAGCTCAGGCTTAATCATAGTTCTTAGTTAGCTCGTTTTATTTTGAAAGACCAAGTAGTGCTGCAGTGGAATTATTTGCAGGAACAAAGTCATTAAAATTGTATTTCACTGAAAGGCTGAAGAACAAAGCAAGATGGGGATCTCACAGGCCGAGGGAGAGTACAGCGAGGGTAGAAGAATGCCTCAGACCAAAGATATAAGCAAACAAAACAGACATAGACGCAATCATAACACGGTTTAGAGAAAAGAATTATACAACTAAACTAAACAAAATTTCTTCCCTTTGAAAAGCCTTATAAGTTACATAAAGAAACACATCATTTCACATTTTAAAGGTAACTTGGGTTTGTTACTGTCAAAGAGAAAGCTAGTCCCTGAAAGTCGCCAGGACAAATTTTGCTGTTTAGAATCAGCTATTTCCTCTCAATGCAGGATAGGGCTTCCTATTAACATTCTTTTTGAATGAATAAATATATACCACTAAGATACCTGAAGAGTTCAAAAATGGCTCATTGAATGGTTTATTTGACTGATGTCAGCTTTAAACTGAAATTAAGCACAAAGTTTACAAGGAGAAAAAAAAGAATTCCCTAAAGAGATTAGACTGAGTTGATTACAATAGCTTCTCTAATCTCAGTGAAGAAGTAGGGAGACGTACACTTTAATGGAATTAATATATTAGTATTTCTTGAATTCGATTAGGTCTGAAATCACAGTCCTTAGCTATAATGAGTTTTTGTAGAAAAATCAGTAACCATTTTGACTGGATACTAATACTTCTTGGAACAAACACTAGGGCTAAAAGAGAACAAACATGCTACACTCAGCTCTCAACAAAAAATTAATGGTACCGTTTTATAACACGATTTTGGCACCATATCAAAAGCCAATGTTTGAAATATTTAACATATCAATATTTAACATTTCAAAATGTTCAATTTTATCTCAGCTTTAAAACAATTCCTTTGACTAATAAATCTTAAAAATGGGCAAGAGAAAACAAGTAGATAATTACTTTTCAAAATAATATTTCCTCTGAAGTTTCTTCTTCCTCTTTTCTTTAGCATGTTGATTCAAGCTGTAGAAGTGATGGTTGCTAGTGTTTACTTAATTATGAAGGGTTCAGAACAGCAGCAGTTCACAATCATGTTTAACAAGATCCTCACTTGCCAACAACTACTTGCCACCAACCTTCCCTCCTCGTTCCCCAGAGGAATTCCTCCTGTGCCTTGGCTTTGGCATAACCTGCTTTCAGCTCTCATTTATTTTTACTGCATACCTTCCCCTACCCTTTTCCTTTAGGGTGAGATCCTAGCAACTTAAGAGCGTTACCTACTGTTCTGGTAAAGAACATCTGGCATTAACATTTATTTTCCTCCAAACATCCAGGATTATGTTACAGACTAGTTATAAACATGGCTGGATTTTCAGGGGCCGAAATGAAACTAGTCTTCTATTAATTTAAAGAAGAGATAGGACAACAGCATAGCGCAGCATACAGTTACAGCCCAAGACTGAGGATAAGCAGTTTCTAGGCATGCTCAAACGGCCACTTCTTTGTCAACTGACACAAGTTATATAAAACAGAAGCGAGTTCCTTAGTAAACTATTTATACAAGCTTGTTATTATTATTATGAGAGTTACAGGAGCGCTAATATTAGAGCATCTGCATTGCCCCATTGCAAAACAGTCCAGAAGGTCCCTCAGGAAAAAAAAAAAGGAGGAAATGCTTTTCCCTTTATTTGCTAATACTTTGCTGGATGAATCCCAGTGGGATCCTCTTTTTCCTCATAAAAATCAATTTTCAAAAGAGGCTACGAGTTCCTCGTCCTGAAAACAAAACCAGCAGTCGAAGAGCCCTCTGGGGTCACTCTCCTCACCCAGCAGCTCCCGCCCACCCCCAAAACAGGAAGAAACACCACCCCGAACCTTCCCCGCTGCTGCACAACCCCCGGCATTGCCGCACCGCCTTTGCCTTGGCGCGGTCACTAGAGAAACACGATTTTAGCTGCGTAACGACAGCAGCAGCCCCAACGGTCAGCACGGAGGCGACTCCCACGCTTACGCCGGGTCACAGGGAGGGATTTGGAGCCTTAGATACCCATGCTGGATATGGGGGAGCCGATCCGGGTTAAGGTTACCTCAGGGGGGAAGGAACAGAAAAATACATCCCCCCACCCCCACCCCGCGCGACCCTGCCTCGCGCGACGGCCCCTCCCGCTCC